CTGCAGTGCCACGTGGCAGCTTACTGTGGACTTGAAGACCCCCTGTTTCAGGGGCTGCTCTAGAGTGGTGAGGCTCTGCTCACACAACAAACCCTAGATCTGCAGATCTGCAGAACTGCTGCTGCTAGGGGCTGATCAAGATCTCAGCCCCCTCTCTCCTCTAGCTGGCTTGCTGAAGCGAAGCCCAAGACCCTCCTGGTTTTGGTATACCTTGTGCCCTTGGAGACACCAAGGGCCAGGTATCTCTTCTCTCTCTCCCCTCCCTCTATTAACCTACCTTCCCTATCTCTCCTCTCTCCTCTTACTCACCCCTTCTCTTTCCCCCACCTTCTACTGCCTCTTTTCTCTCCTCCTTTTACCTTCCCCACCCCACCTTTCTCCCACCACCCATTCTTTTACTCTCCTTTCTTTATTTCTTTTCTTTCTTTCCTCCTTTTCTCCTTGCTCCTTGATCCCTCTCCACCTTTCCCCAACCCTCCTCTCCCCCAACTACCACCACATCATCCCCCCACCTTCCACTTCCATCTTTTTTTCTCTCCCACCTATTTCATTCTTTTCTCCTTCACTTTTTCATTCCCCTTCCCCCCTACTTCGAATTTTTTTTGTTTTTCTTCTTTCTATCTCTCTTTTGATTTATCTTTTCTCTTTTTTCCAAAAATTCGAATTATTTTCTTCCCCACCTTCTTTTTTCATTTTCTGATTTATTTCATTTATTTTTCTATTTATTCTGAAAATTCGATTTTCTTTACTGCAACCCTAAATCTGATTAGGTGTTAGTCTTTCTTGCTTTCGGCACACGTTTTGACGCCGTGGGGGTAATGAAGTGCTGCCGAAATTTTCTGATTTTCTCTTACTTAGTCTTTTTCGACACACTTCGACCCCATGGGGGTAACGAAATGCTGCCAAAATTTTTGAAAAGTCAGAGACTCCATTTCTCCCCACCTCCTCATCCACTTATTTACTTATTTATTTATTTATCTATTTATTTATTATTTATTTTTTTTTTTATTTTTTTTTTATTTGCGGCAGTTTGAAACCTAGTGTGCTTATCTAGATCTCTCCTTTCCCTTTGGCACATTCTTGACCCCATGGGGGATAGGGAAATGCTGCCGAAAATTTCAAAAAAAAAAATCTTATTTTTCTTTTCACTTTTTTTTTTAATACTTATTCCCTTAATTATTTTTATTATTATTTTTTTTTGTTTTTCTCTTGAAATCTCGCTGCTTATTTATTTTTCTCCCGCCTTCCCCCCCTATGCTTGCTATTTTATTTTCTTGATTAGGTCACCGGTACCTTACCCTAACCACTCAAACTTCGGTTAGGGTTTTCTTAGTGTCTTGCCAGGGTTTAGGGTTCTTCAAAACCCCCCTACTCCCCCTTCCTCTTCGGCACCCTAGACCCAAACCACCCCTCCCCCTTTGACGGCGCCCGCGCTAGCCTTGCTAACGCCGTCCGCCGCTTTCTACCGTGGACCCCCCCCTACGCCCTCCGCTCATGCGGACCTCTTCTGACCCCCTCCAGTCCGACCCGTCACCTCCCCATGGCCGACGATGTGTCACACGCCACCGACGTGGCGACGACCACGACACCGGGCTCCACACCCGTGCCGGCGGTCCAGGGCCAGCAGCCCCAGGGGGATCTGCACAACCTCCTCACCTCCCTCCTTGCACCCATTCAGACACAACTCGCGATCCTCGCGCCCTTACAGGCGAAGGTGGCGACCCTTACCGCCGGCATGCAGCAACTCCAGGACGCTGCCTGCCCTTCATCTCTTGACTCTCACTCTTCTTCTGGCTCCCAGTCCGGGTCCCCAGTCCTCCGACAGGGTGGCGTCGGTGGAGCTTCCTCCTCCGCTGCCCCCTACCTGGCCATCTTGGTGACCGTCCACGCCCCTAGCTCGACGGTCGCCACGAGTCAGGTCCTCCCTCAGTCGACGGGCGCACTCGCCCAGATCCCGGTCACTACGGCCACGGTACAACAACCCGCTACCATGGTCTCAGCTTTTTCGGGTGCCCCGCTTCTCCCTCCCCTTCGCACGATCGCAGTGCCACCTGACTCTCCCCCCTCTGGGATGCCCCGTGCCGCTCGTATGTCCACTCTTCCTCCTGCCACTCCTCGCTCGACCTACGTTCAAGGTCTCGAGGACGAGATTGCCCAGCTCTGGGCCGACCTCGCCCTCTCACGCCTTCAGCCACCCCCATCCTGAAAGGTGGCCGCGCCTTTGAGAGCACCTCCTCCTTCCTCTACCCTTCCTCCCATGCAGGCTCGCTTCAACAGCCATTTCGTCAAAACGGACATATTATATTTTTTGAACGAAATCAAAACTGACTTTTTTTGCCAAAATCCGGTCGGAATTTTTTGCTCCTGGGGGTCCGGCTTTCCCAAAATGCCGGACCCCCCTGGTCTAT